AATGTCGCTTAGGGAGTCCCGGCGCGGAGATCTGCGGTATAGACTTACCCCAAGAGGCCTGAGGATAGTAGTGAAGGCTAGGAGAGTTAGCCGGTGGTGCAGGCCCAGGGAAGCATAGAGAGGTGAGGGCAGGGCCAGGACCAGAAGCGGTGCTCCTGAGGCTCAAGAAAGGGGCTGAGTTGGTCTGAGTGAAAAGGATCACTAAGCAGTATTGGTTCCCCAGGTGTTTGGGGCCCCAAGACTAGGAATGGCGCAGGGCCCAAACTAGGAGTATAGAACGGCGGGGGGGATGGAACGGTGAATGTGGCTTAGGGAGTCCCAGCATGGAGGGTTGTACTATAGACTTACCCCAAGAGGCCTGAGGATAGTAGTGCAGGCTAGGAGAGTTAGCCGGTGGTGCAGGCCCATGGAAGGCAAGAGAGGTGAGGGCGGGGCCAGGACCAGAAGCGCGGAGAGCTGCGCTATAGACTTACCCCAAGAGGCCTGAGGATGGTCGGGTTTTATTTCTTAATCCATTCACCTAGCCTGTGTCTTTTGATGGGGCAGTTCAGTCTGTTAATATTTAAAGTTATTAATGAAAGATGAGCATTGAATCCTGTCATTTTTGTTTACATTCTTGATATAGCTGTACTTTTCCACAGTTATACCTTCATTAAATTTCTTTCCCCAACCCCTTGGGTATAGTCGTTCCTTTCTTCAGCTCTTTGTATTGCTTCCTGGACTCTCTGAAGGGCTGTTTTTGTGTACATGAATTTCTTAAGCCTATTTATGACATGGAAGATTTTTCTTTCCCCTTCAACTATAATAGACATTTTGGCTCGGTATAGTAATCAGGGTTGGCATCTGTGGTCATTTAAAACTGGGAATACTTTGGTCCAGGCCTTCTGGCTTTCATAGTTTGCACTGAAAAGTCAGCTGTAATCCTAATGTAATGGGTTTTCCTTTATATGTGACTTGTTGTTTCTCTTTTGCAGCTTTCAGTATTGTCTCTTTGTTTTGTACGTTTAGTGTTTTTAATATGATGTGCTGTGGAGAGTTTCTTTTCTGGTCCTGTCTGTTTGATGTTCTATATGCTTCTTGTATTTGTATGGGCATGTCTTTCTTTAATTTTGGGCAATTTTCTTCCACTATTCTGTTGGGGATCTGGTCCACGCCATTATCTTGGGATTCTTCTCCTTCGTATATGCCTATGATTCATAAGTTTGATCTTTTTATGGTGTCACACAATCCTGCATATA